AGGTTTCACCGAATGCCCTCTGGATTTTACCTCCTGTTTCTTCCCTATTCGTTTCCTTAATCCACACTCCCCTCTCAGGTATGGAATGGACAAGGACAAGTTGGCTGGACCCAACAGATGCCCCAGCAAAGTGGCTACTTCACCTGGGGAGCCTTAATTCTGACCCTCATGCTGGTATAATAAACAACATTTCCACTGATCTATCTCCTCAGCACTAGAATTTAAAAAAAAAATAAGATTAAGGCAATGAAAAACCAGATGACTATGCTAGTGGTCAGGGAACGCCTAAGGAAGTGACATTTGCTTCCAAACTTCAATCAGAAACCAATCACACATGTTATGGGACAGTATGCCAAGCAGAGGGAGCAGCAGGTGCCACGGCCCAGGATGACTGACACGGAGGACACAGCAAGAACGGGCTTGTCTTAGTTAAGGTTTCTACTGCTGTGAAGACACCATGACCATGGCAACTCTTATAAGAGAAAACTTTTAATTGGGGTGGCTCACTTACAGTTCAGAGGTTTAGTTCAGTACTGTTATAGCAGGAAGCAAGGACACACACAGGCAGAAATGGTGCTGGAGAGGTAACTGATAGTTCTTGCATCTTGACTCACAGGCAACAGGAAGTGGTCTGGCTCGCTGAGCATGGCTTGAGCACATATGAAACCTCAAAGCCCGCCTCCACAGTGACATACTTTCTCCAACAAGACCACACCTACTCCAACAAGGCCACACCTCCCTTTGGGAGCCATTTTCTTTCAAAACACCACAGGGCTGGAGGAGCCCGGGGACGCAGGTCATGGGCAGAGCACTTGCCTAGCACGCATGAGATCCTTGGTTCAACGTCTACCACTGGGATAGGACACGGATGTCTTAAGCAAAAGGTAATCTTGTAGGCGGGTATGTGCTGACATTTTTAAACTAGATTTTTTTCTGCTGTATTTATTATGACTCTGTGTGTGTGTGTGTGTGTGTGTGTGTGTGTGTGTGTGTGTTACAGAATGGCTACAGAGGATTAAAGTAGCTATGCCAGAATACTAGGCATCTCAAAGAGACCCAAATGAACATCGGGGAGGTATGTGAAAGGAAACTCTGGGGAGGGCCAGAGGTGGAGAGTGGGGGAAGCAGATACCTAACCTGGTAGATAAGCCAGGGCCGCTGATGTCAAGTCAAGCTCCAGAAATGCAACGTGGGACCATGGAGGCCACAGAGTTGACGGGAAGGTCAGATGCAGGCAGTTGTTTGAACAGACAGGAATCCTAGCAGTCTGTGCTGCACTTGGCCAGCTAAGCCCCTGGGACAGTAGGGAGTCACACACCAGGTGGTCGGGTGACAGGTGGGTGGGGTGTCCGTAAAGCACTGGATGTACTCTTTTTTTTTTTTTTTAGTTTGTTTGCTTCCTTATTTTTTTTTTTTCTTTTGAGACAGGGATTCTCTATTTAGTGCTGGCTGTCCAGCAACTCTATATGTAGACCAGGCTAGCCTTGAACTCAGATCTGCCTGCCTCTGCCTCCTGGGATCTGGAACTAAAGGCTTGTTAGATGTTCTCTTTATGGGTCCAGGTGAGGGTGCTATATCCTCACCTTAGCCTGTTGTACCAGTAAGTTCTTGAACCTGTTTTCATCCTTTTTTTGGTGTGTATGTACATAGGTATGTAAGATGTGTCTGTAAATATTCCTGTGTGTGAGTACAGGTGTGTGGATGCCATAGCAAATCCAACTGTCTGAGGCAGTCTCTCATTTGCCGCTGCGTATCCCAGGCTAGCGGGCCGTCTTGCCTCCCATCTTACCCTAGGAACACTGGGATAACACACAGACACCCCCACACTTTAATCAATAAGCTACCGACCCAGTCCCTGATATGATCTGACCGTGGTCATACGCCCCTGCAGCCCCAGTTTCATTGATAAATTTGGAGGGTGGCACCTGTTCTGTGTTTCAGAGTAAGTCATTCATCAGCAGGTGCCTCGTGGTGATGCTGGACTTGGCAGATGGTGCTGTGCCCAGATTCTGAACCCCCAAATCACCAAGAGACCCATTCTGATACAGAAGCCAAGAGTCTTTTATTGTTTAATGAGCTAACCCCATTGACTAGGGCTCTTCACCTCGTCCGCTGGTGTGAGAAGGACCTGGAGAAACCGCGAGGCAGGGAACTTATTGGGCAGCACGAGGGGAGTATCTAGGGGTATGCAACAGTCTCAGGATTGGTGCACTTCTGAGCTTGGACAACTTGTCCTGTGTTGATTGGTCAACTGGTTGCTATGGCCCATAGGCCCTCCCAGGGCGGCTGCTATGCTCTGCACGTCACTGCTACAGCACTTTTACAGTAATGCACGCCCAGAGCCGTAAAGTACACCCAGAGTCCCACCAGCTAACTTCTGATTGGTTTCTTGCCATAAGTAGGGCATCTGACCTCCTAGTGACTGGGACAGGCCTGGCAAGGCCAGATATATGCTGAGTCAGAGGCCTACATGTCTTTTCAGTAGCCTGTCATGGCTACTAAAGCGGGGGCTGGGTGAGGGTCTGGTCCTTTCAATGGGTCCACCAAGGTGCAGAATCCACCTGCTTCTGTATCTGCACTCAAATGCTGCACTCAAAATGCAGTCAATGGCTACTTATAAAATGGAATCCCTCAGGGCAGGGCATAGCATGGAAAAAAAACCCCTCTATTTTCCATAATATTGAGTAATTTAGGGCTGGGCACAGCCCCCTCTCAACACCAGTGGTGTAGGAATTCACAATGAACCCAGAGCTAGCAGCATAAAGAAATTTTCAATTAAAGTTTGGTGTTTCGTGTTACTTACTTGTGGATGGGTACATTTTTACACAAATCACTCACTTTACAATGACATGGCTTATTCGTACCGGTGGAAATACACATGAAATGTAATTTCTCCAGTGTCATGCACTGAGCTACCTAATATCCTGCATTATCTATCTCATTTAACACTCACATGGCCCTCTTAATATAAGCATCCTTATCTTCATTTTACGCATGAAAAACTGAGGCTCAAAGGTTAAGGGACTTGTTATGTATCACTTGGCAAATAAATCATGCAGCCAGCTTGTTACGGAGGACGATGAACCCAAGAGCCATTTTAGACAATCTGAATGCCGGGATCACTGGAATGCACCACTAAGCCCTGTCTATTCAATTTGGCCTTAATGCACACAAACACTTCAACAAATAAGCTGTATTTCCAGGCAGGGTTTTGGAGGTGTGTGTGTGTGTGTGTGTGTGTGTGTGTGTGTGTGTATGTGTCCATGCGTGCACACGCGCTTGTGCTAGCCCCAAACCCTAACTCAGCATGCAGTCGAGGCTGTCCTTGAACTCCTGATCCTTCTGCTTATATCTCTCCAGCACTGGGATCACAGGCAGGTGCCACCACTCCCAGGTTTCGTTTTGGAGTTTGAACTAGGGATGCCTTGGGGGAAATGGGCGGAATGTCTGGTGGCACTGGTCGGGATGACTGAGGCAGGAAAGAAGGGTATTGAAGGGTAGCAGGCTGTGGTGACAGTCTAGGTGCTGGAGATGGGAGTGGCTTGAGCCCTCTGTCTGTCATGCTGCTGTTGCTGGAGGATCCTCCAGCAAGTTCCAGCCACAGCTGCCACACATCTCTGTTACTCACCCTTAAAATGGGCTGATTAAACTTGAGCATTAAAAAACTCTACATTCCATCCTGCCTGATGCTTCTGAATTTTAATGCATGCCGGGGATTTATATATGAAGGCCCTAGATACCGTCTTGAACCCAGACAAGAACTCAGGAATACTAACTCTCAGCTTAACCGTCTTCGCAGAATATAATGAAGCAGGATTGTTTTCAAAATCAGATTATACTGAGACAAACCCATCATTTCTGCATCTTTCTGTACATGTTGTTTAAGAAAATGATTTGGGTATAGCTGTTGCCATAGTGGCTAATGATATTACAATCAACTAAGAATATTACTTTCGAAACAAATGAAATGATTTAAACCTATCTCACCAAGAAATATCGTGAAGACATACTTATGAAACACGAACTGCACTCTCATCAAATTAATTTGTTTCCTAAGCTCAAATTTAATTTAAAAAGACATATTTCTCTAACTGCTTCCAACAGCAGACTGTAAAGGGACTTTGAATAGAGAACACAGGAAATAAATATAGTACTGTTCAGGAAAGTAACCAACACAATAGCCGTTGTGTTGTTTGTGATGTTTTTGGAAAGTATTTTTTAACAACTTCCTGATGAATGTGCTCTTACTGGTGTAAAGCCAGGCTGGCTCTCACCTGCTAACTCTTTTTCTCTCTCTTTCGTCACTGTGTCCTGTGATATATCTATCCATTACCAAGACTTGCTAGATACCGGCCTGGCTTTCCCCTATCTGACCTTCATTTTTACTGACATGAGGTTGGGGTTTCTATTCCTGACTTGCTGAAAGGGCCTTTTCTTTGGTATAGCCCACAGGGAAGAGCATCTTCCTGAAGCAAGGCTTTCATCTAGCCCCTCGTTAGTAAAGCGTCAGGGGTCCCACTGCAGACAGCCTAGGGTGGACACAGTTCCTCAGAACCCCCATTGCAGACAGCCTAGGGTGGACACAGTTCCTCAGAACCCCCATTGCAGACAGCCTAGGGTGGACACAGTTCCTCAGAACCCCCATTGCAGACAGCCTAGGGTGGACACAGTTCCTCAGAACCCCCATTGCAGACAGCCTAGGGTGGACACAGTTCCTCAGAACCCCCATTGCAGACAGCCTAGGGTGGACACAGCTCCTTAGAACCCCCATTGTTTTAGCCAGGCTAATGCATTAGCTTTTACGGTTGCCAACCTGCTACTTGGAATCATTGGCCCTTTCTGCCAACTCACGGCCAACACTTCCTTTCCATTTTGTATTGAATTCTCTTCCTTCAGGATGTTTTCCTTGCTTCGTAGCTACTTAGCAGATAAACAACTCTCCTTTTTTGAGCTTTTAATCACATTAAGTGCTTAAAAAAAAAAACTCCACACACAAATCGTCCGAGTCTAGGGATAAACAGTTTACTGAGATTTCATTCTCCAAAAAGAGGTCTCCAAGAACCAACGAGGGTAACTTTGTCAAGAGACAGAACTCAAATTTGCAAGCTGCTGTGTTTTCCTTAAGGTATCAACCCTAGAACCAGAGCAAATGGCTCTTTATGGTGACCTCTAGCGGGCACGGGGCAGTCCTACAAAAATTACAAAAAGTGGAGAGAAAGTAAAAACCCTTCCCCAGGTACTCTGTGGTCATAAGACCGCTTCCCTCTACCCTCCTCATTTATCTTTTTCTTTCAGATATCGTTTCCCTTACACACGACTCACCTGTTTCTTGCCTTTGACGTCTGGGCTGCCGGTGTCGCATGTGTGAACTGCTGTTTAAAATAATGTCTGCCAAGTCGAACCCCACTCCCCTTGGCTTTGCACAGTGTGGTTGGCTTCACCAAGCTTTAAGACGGTCTCTGCATTTGGAGGGCCGGTGCCGCAGTCGCATGGGGGGGTGCAACGGGGGAGGGGAGGAGTGGACATCGAGATAGCATGAAAAGGAGAATGCAAGACCGAGGAGGCAATGAGACATTCTTGTTTTGCCAGTGAAAGATTCTCTCCAGAATGCCACCCCACTCCGCGGGAGGGAGGCATCGTGAGAGCGGTGTAGGTGCCCTCTCAGGACCCGAGGCTGGGAAAAAGGGGGGAGCCGGGGCGGGTCTGCAGGCCCCTGGAATCGCGGGCGCGGAACGGGTTGGGGGGGTGGGTGGGCTGGGTGCGCGGCCGCCTTCGGAGCGCACCGCACGTGGGGCGCCCCACGCGCGGAGAGGAAGCTCAAAGTCGGCAAGCAAAGCCGCGACTAGGCTGCTTGCTCTGAGAAATCCTCTGGGGCAGCCTTAGAAGCCGACCCGGGTTCCGAACAGTCTCTGGCAATGGCTCATCCAGATGCCGCCGTCTGCTCCCTACTTCAAACCCCGCACCTTGGTCCTCACCTCTGCACCCCTCTTTCCCGCCCCTCCCTTCGGGGACGGTTTAAAGGAGCCTGGGGGGGAGGTGCGCGGGTCATCCCGATGGCCCCGGCGCTCCCCGCAGCTCGCATCACGCCCCGCGCAGCCCTCCCGGCCACTGCGGGCGGGGGCGCACGGCGTCACGAGGCGGGGAGCCCGAGGTCCGGGGCGGGGCGCCGGGGAATCCCAGCCCGAGCGAGCCGGGAGGTGCGGGCGGGCGCGGGCGGGCGGGCAGGAGGTGCGCGCGGAGGGAGCGGAGCGCGCGGAGCCGGCGGGCGAGGAGGAGGACGGCGAGGGAGGACGGCGAGGGAGGCCCCGCCCCCGCCTCTCGGAGCCCGCTCCTCGCCGCCGCCGAGCCCTCTCACTTTGCCTCTGGCCTCTGGACGGCTGCCGGGCTGCGTGCATCGGGGACCAGGGAGCCCTACCCACGGCGCCTCGGCTACCGCGCGCCCTCCGGGAGGCCGGCACCGCCTGGAGCCGCGGACACCCACTAAGATTCCCGAAGAGCGAACCCGGGAGCGCGGGGCGGCGGCGGCACTGACACCGCGGGGGGACCCAGGCGGCGCGGGGCGCGAGCCCCGGGGGAGCGCGGGCCCCGACGGCGCGGCCAACCCGGTGCGCTCGGTGGCCAGGCCCCCGGGGCGGCCAGCCATGACCTTCGGGCGCGGCGGGGCGGCCTCGGTGGTGCTGAACGTGGGCGGCGCCCGGTACTCGCTGTCCCGGGAGCTGCTCAAGGACTTCCCGCTGCGCCGTGTGAGCCGGCTGCACGGCTGCCGCTCGGAGCGCGACGTGCTCGAGGTGTGCGACGACTACGACCGGGAGCGCAACGAGTACTTTTTCGACCGGCACTCGGAGGCCTTCGGCTTCATCCTGCTGTACGTGCGCGGCCACGGGAAGCTGCGCTTCGCGCCGCGGATGTGCGAGCTCTCCTTCTACAACGAGATGATCTACTGGGGCCTGGAGGGCGCGCACCTGGAGTACTGCTGCCAGCGCCGCCTAGACGACCGCATGTCCGACACCCACACCTTCCACGCCGCGGACGAGCTGGGCCGCGAGCAGGCTCGCCCCGCCGGGCCCGAGGCGGCTCCCTCCCGGCGCTGGCTGGAGCGCATGCGGCGGACCTTCGAGGAGCCCACGTCGTCGCTGGCCGCGCAGATCCTGGCCAGCGTGTCCGTGGTGTTCGTGATCGTGTCCATGGTGGTGCTGTGCGCCAGCACGCTGCCCGACTGGCGCGCGGCGGCCGCCGACAACCGCAGCCTGGATGACCGGAGCAGGTACTCCGCCGGCCCTGGGAGGGAGCCCTCCGGGTAGGACGCACTGCTTCTCTGCCCGTCCAGTCCGTCCTGTCCCGTCCGTTCGTCCGTCCGTCAGTCCGTCCGTCCAGTCTCCGTCCTGTCTGCCTGGTGGCCCTTGCCAGGCTTGTTCCTGCCTCAGGAGGCCCCTGGAGCTCCAACTCAGGGATGTGTGGGTCCCCAACCCCGCCCCTTTCCTAGGCACAGTCTGCCGGTGTGCTTGGGCCTCACCTCTTAGGGTACCCCGCCCCCCACACACCCCAGGCTTTGTAGTATAATTCTAAGCAAATAGCAGTCCTCTAACGAGGTTTCTCTAAACTTTTATTGCTAATATACAGTAATTTACCCGACGATCCAATCTGAGCTAAGAGCACTTTGAAATATGTGCCAATACGGGTGGTGTTTGCAAAGATGATGTCTTGTTCCACAGAAATGTGGTCCTGCTGCGCTGCCCACAGGCTCTGCACACCCTGCCCCTGGCTTAATGTGTGCTGGGATGGAATTGCCGTATTATAAAGGAGGCTGATTTAGCGTTCGACTCTGAATAATGGATGTCTGTGCCCTTTTCTTCTCTGCTTTCCGACTGACTACGGGCCTAGCAAATTCTTGTCCACTGTGTAGTGTTTAAGATTTACGGTTTCGTTTAGAGGGTCTTCAGTGTGGGGAAGGAAATAAGGATAACTATTAGCTTGGGAGAGCAGAAAAATCCAAAGTTCCCCAAACCCAGAAACAGGTTTCGGTAGTTGATGTGACCCCCCCCTCCCTCCAGTAGGATGAAAGGAAAAGGAATCTTTCCTGGGTTCCTACTTACCTCTTAATGGCGATAACACTTTGCTGTTTTTAGAACAAGTGAGTTTATTTTGCATATTTGGTGGGAGGAATAAGCAGACTAAAGTTGGACTTTGAGAGGAGACAGCCATTTTGGGCATAAAACCCAAACTGTGTAATCTCTTTTACGAATTCCCCCTCTCCAGCCTCTTTCCTTGTATTAGGCTTTTTTTTTTCCTCCATTCACTCTCAAGTCATGGTGGCACCTGTAATCTTTTTTTCTGATGGGCCTGGGTATGCTAGGTGGTGTTTGTTGACGCAGCAGTGGATTGCTTCCACGGGACTCTTTGGAGGGAGTAAAGGCGTCTGTATAAATCTTAGGAGCAAGCACAATGGGCCGGTGGCAGAGTCCATTACCTGTGTGCCACCCTGGCGTGAGAGCCAAGATCTGTGCTTGGGAAAGAAGTAAATTAGGAAGCTCATTATAATGTTTTGTGTGTGTTCGGTTGTGTTTTCACTTCCCAGATAGGGATTACTTCCTTGGTGCCCCAGTGATACAGTGAAATTAATTTCTATGTTTAAGTAAGTGACTTGATTTGCTGTTGTTGTTGTTTGGCGAGGGTCATAGGAAAAAAAGAGCCATGAGTTGAGCGGCACTGACGTGAGTAATCAGTAGACGCAGAATGTGCAGGTTAGTGATGGCCGGAGCTCGTTAGTAAAGGAAACAGGAGGGGTGTACCCTAAGTACAGATTCTGAGGGAGCTGACTACACTTAGAGAAGCAGGCAAGACCAGGGAGCTAAGTGAGTGGTTACTTTGTTTCTTTTGAAGGAATGAGGGAGTTTGGGAAGAAAGACAATTCATGTAAAGTATTAGGATGAACACTTATTTTAGATTAAAAAAAAAAAACCAGAAAGAGAAGAGGCAGAGATGGGGAGGGGGAGGCTGCAAAGGAAGGAGGTAGAGTAAGCTTAATTTGTGTATACGGATCTTAGTATGTATATAATTATTCAAGTCAGACTGTTTCCTAGATACACAGATATTTCAGGCAAATGCATATTTTTCTTGGCTTAATGGCCCAGTTTTAAACTTCTCTCTATGAGTGTAGGTATAAGAAAGCCAGTGTCTGTAATCCCAGGTACACTGGGGGACAGCCGAATGAGGATGTACATTGCACAGGCAGCCCCCTGGGCTGAAATTTTATAGTTTCTCAGTCCCTGCCAGCCTGTGGCAGCTAAAATGAGTCTAAATCCTTCTGACCCTTTGACCTGAAATCCACTAAATAAAGCCAAAGTCCCCTCCTCTTGGAGACTTGACGTTCACCGTAACCTGCTAGGCAAGTGTCCAGCCCTTATTATTCATGCCTGAGCCGTGCAGCTCACCAGGCTTGTTTCATCTCCTCCTAATTTGTGTCTTTTGTGAGTGTCCACTTGTTCGACTCAGCTGTTCCAAATACTGTGACTTTCTTGTAAAGAGAAGTTGATGCAGGACTAAGAGGCCCATTGGGTTTCCAAGAGTCAAATTATCCTGAGAAAGCCTTCAAGGCCATGGAGGGTGGAAACAAGCCATTCTTGAAAGGTTGTGCAGTGTCCGACACTGGCAGGGGGCGTCACTTACATAAACTGGTTTATGCAACCTGCACCATCCTGTGTCTTGCTTAAGAACGAAATAGGAGAGTTTTCCCAGCAAAAGGAACAGCGTGGGCACAGGCATGAAACTTGTATGTTATGTTTGGGGACTGGGAATCCAGTGAAAGAGTGTGAGGTGAGCCTATACCAGCAATGTGAAGAACTCAGTCTCACAGCTGTGCGTGGCTAGCTCTCAGCTGGTTTGTATCATTTGTGCTGAGACATCATCCATAGGAAATAGAGAACGTGTTCAGTATGTTCCGTGATCAGAGAGGGAGGAGATTGGACACAGGACTGGGCGTGGGGTCGGCACACAGCTGCCGTCCCTTCCACGCATGTTCAGTGCAGGAGGGTCAGGAGTTGGAGCCTGTGCTCCAGCGTAGTGAGACCCTGTCCCAAAAAAGGAGCAGGGCCTGGAGATGTTAGCTAAGTACTAAATCGCTTGTGCAAAAGCCTCTGGGTTCAATTCCCAACTCTGCAAAACAAAACAAAAACAGAAACAACAACAACAACAACAAAAAGAGTTTGGAAGACTGTGTGTGGGGTCTGAGAGTTTGTATTGCTTTGGGCTTGTGAGAGCAAAAGCCCCTGGGTTCGATTCCCAACTCTGCAAAAAACAGAAAGAGGCGGGAAGACTTTGTGTGGGGTCTAAGAGCTTGTATGGCTCTGGGCTTGTGAGAGTAGAGACTAGATGGCAACCCCGGACTGTACTAGGAAGAATTGAGATGCCTCCAGAGCCCTGTAAAGACAGAAGCTGCAGGACCTGACCAGGAGCTGGGAACTCTCGGTTTCACTCCCAGGATCCATCTGTCTGTCCGGCCTATCCTGCTCATTTGTCCCCAAGACACCTCTGTGCCCCTCACAATGCAGTTTCCAACCAATGAAATGATCATTCAAGCCCGAATCAGGTTCTATGCGAAGCATTCACGGGCTGTTTCCTCCCAACCTTGAGGGGTTACTGGTTTGTACAGTTTATGTGTCATCTGTGTGGCCTTCCTAGATGCCATTTCCTCATGAACACACTGTGGTTCCTGTGGCAGATTTGATGCAAAGCCCTAGAAGGCAGGTAAACTCACCCATAGCCCCCCACCCCCGCCGCCGCCATTTTATTTTTGAGTCAGTCTTAATGTGGCTCAAACTGACAATTTTCCAGCCTCAGCCTCTTCAGTACTGGGATTTCAGGAACATACTGCTACATGCCTTCCTTTGGGGAGCCCTGGAGTGGGTAGGTGTTGAGACAGCCTCTCATATGGCCCAGGGTAGCTTGAGAATCGATCATATCCAAGGGTAACCTTGAGTTATTCATCCTCTTGCTTAACTTTACCTCCTACATGCTGGGATTACAGATGTGTACTGTCATACCAGACGGCTGTGTGTGTGTGTGTGTGTGTGTGTGTGTGTGTGTGTGTGTGTGTGTAATGTGCTCACACAGAGGTATGTTTGTGTGCATGTAGAGATCAGAAGTCACTTTCCACCTTTTTTTCCCCCCTTTTTTCTGTGTAGCTTTGTAGACCAGGCTGGCCTCGAACTCACAGAGATCCGCCTGCCTCTGCCTCCCCAAGTGCTGGGAGTAAAGATGTGTGCCACCACTGCCTGTCCACTTTCCTCCTTATTATTTGAGACATGGTCTGTCACTGTCAGCTGATGGATTCCGATAGCTCGCTGACTGGCCAGCAACAGGACCGTACCCTGTTTTTATGTGGATGTTGGGGCTCTGAACTCAGAAGCTCATGGTTTTCTGGAAGCTATCTTACTAAGGGTCATCTCTCCAGACTGGCATACATCTTTTGTTACAGTGTGTCTTAGCGAGGTTTGCAATTGTTGTGGAGAGGACACCATGACCATGGCAACTCTTACAACATTTAATTGGGGTGGCTCACATCTTCAGAGGTTTGGTCCCGGTGGGACATGGTGGCGTGCAGGCAGAGATGGTGCTGGAGCTCAGAGTCCTGCATCTTAATGTACAGGCAACAGGAAGTGGTCTGAATCAATGGGTGTGGCTTGAGCATATGTGAGACCTCAAAGGCCTCTTCCACAGTGACACACTTCCTCCAAGCCATGCCTCTCAATAGCACCACTCTCTTTGGGGGGTCATTTCCTTCTACCACCACACAGTTTAAAGAACTGTTAGGGTTAAAGTTGTGGATTAGTTCTTTATGAACAGACATAACTTTGTTCTCATTTAAGACCTGCATTAAAAGACAACCACCACGGCCTAATGTTCTAGTAGACTTTTGGAGTTTATTGAGAAAAAAAAAGATGATATTTAAAAAATTATCATGAGGCTGGGTATGGGCCAGTCTGGGCTACATAGTGAAACCTCTTCTGGAGGTGGGGTGGGGGGATTCTGTGCAGTCATTGCTTGGTAAGTTTCCGTGGCTGTGGTAGGCTGTGTGGGTGCATGAGCTCATTAGATGCCGTTCCTACTCTTTTGGGGCTTTTTAACTTGTTGATAGTGGGGAGACAGAAAGCACATTAAATAGGTGCATAAGAATTTCAGATTGCAAAAGGTGACGTTGGATCCTGGATATGAGAGAGAGAGCTGTGGGGAACTAGACTAGAGGGAAGGGTGGATTCTGGACAGGAAGAACCGTAAATACAAAGGCTTTGAGGAGGCAAC